AGCTTTGACAGTTGGCTCTTACTAGCAGACAGATCTCTGGCAAAGACTTTGGAGCCCTGGTTCCGCTCAATCGCTTCTTCAATACATTAAAGTTGCGTAAGTCTCGCCGCATGCATTTGGCGATCTGTCTGTTCAGTTGCCTGTATGCTGTCAAATCTGTTGACGATTGCAGCCTTATCTCCCGTCTAACAGCCATGAGATTAAGAGTTTTAGGAGAGTTTTTGTGTTCTTCTGTGGCGGGTCTTGCAGAACTTAGCTCCGAACGTATGGACAGTTTCCACGAGCTTGTCATTCATATCGTCCACTGCATTGCAATCTTCTAGACACTGAAAGCGATTACGTAACTCGAGCTGAAAAGTTTCGGGGTTCTGGATTAGAGCACGAGGGGGCCGGAGCGTTGACTTCATTAGACGAGACCTCTCCAACTTAACGTTTAGATTCAGTGTGTCTCTAACCATTCGGTGATCGCTGCCAGTTTTCACTCTTGCGATCACTGAGACATCATTGAACACTTGGTCATAATGAAGTCATTGTCATTTTTTGTCGAACCGTCGGGGCTCGACCAGGTCCGCTTCCTATGGGGCCGCTTCTGGAAGAAAGAGTTCATCATAAAGAGTCCCTCTTTCTCCATAAATTCGGCCAGCTGCTGGCATCTACTGTTCCGTTGCACTACTCCAAATTTCCCTAATTTCATCTCACCGCTTTCTCTTGTGCCTAGTTTTGCGTAGAAGTCTCCCATCAACACCGTGTATTGTGTTTTAGAGGAATGCATGGCTCTAGAAATATCCTCATATATTTCCTCCACCTCCTCATCGGGACGTGCCGAGGTTGGTGCGTAAACCTGTATGACCTTCAGCGAATATTGTTTGGTGATTTTGAGTATCAGGTACGCGACCCTCGTCGACACACTCCCAATTTTTACAACGTTGTTGACGAGAGACTTGTGGACGATAAATCCGACACCTCCTTGGCACAGATGGTCGCCCTCCCGGTGATAAAAGAAATTGCAGGACTCGAGGATTACCGTATCCTCCCCCTCTCTTCGGACCTCGGATAACTCGGTTGCTACGCTTGGCGAGCGGGTTGGCAACCGCAGTTTTTTATTACATAAATACATACATACACATAAACACTAACGCTTGTCACCCAGAGGGGTAGGCAGAGACTACAGAATTCCATTTGGCACGATCCTGACACACCTCTCTCGCCTCTTCCACATCCATATACCTACGCATACATGCTCGTTGGTTAAGGGTACTCTTAATTTGGACCACTTTTAGTATATCGCCAATTTGGTCGACAAAACTTTAGAAAGAATGCATGAGGAAAGAGTGACAAAGAAAATTTACGTTGCAGAAGTGAATGGCAGAGTCGGAAAACGACGTCCAAAGCGAAAATGTATCGACCAAATTAGCGATCACTACTATCACGGCTTTGCACCAATCTACCGGTACCCACTGCAGTTCCCAGCATAAAATAAACAAGGTGGGCAGCTGGCCTGCCACCACTTCCTCTCCAGCCCTTAGCATTTCGAGTGAAACTCTATCATATCCGGCAGCCTTACCTGCTTTGATGCTTTTCATTGCTTTTATTATTTCATCTATACTGATCTCGCTACCGCTCTCCTCTTCTTTCTGAGTTTCTACTTCATTTAGTTCACATGTTGTCTTCTCACTCATAAACACTCTTTCAAAATATTCCTTCCATCTCTTTAAACTCAAAACTTCATCATTCAGAATGTAGCCATTCTCGTCTCTTATAGCAGTCATTATAGGCTGTTTTGAATGGCAGTACCCTGGCAGTTTTTACAAGTTTCCAGAACATTTTAATATTTGCCTGGAAGTTATCTGATATTTTTCTATCATTCTTATCCGTTCTTTCTTGCCTTTTCCTTTCAACTACTTCTTTTACTCTCTTATTTAGATGTCTAAAGACTGCCTTTTTTCTTTCAATATCATCATTCGTACCGCTAGAATTACCAGCCTTTGTTGCTAGTAAATCTAGCCATGCTCTCTTCTTTGCTTCAACTTCCATACGTATCTCATCATCCCACCATAACGTATTATTTTTCCTTTTTATTATACTACTGTTGTTATTAGGAAGATGCTGCTGCCCATCTCCTGCCTGTCTCCCTCTGCCGCCTCTTACGACACCCAAGGGAAGATATGGGGTAGTCGATACTCTCAACCGCCACTACACGGAAATTGCTCACGGCTAAGCATCTCCTTCTATTAATTGAAGACATAAGGGTTAGCAGTGAACTATAGCCGTAGCAGCGATCACAATAGATCCTTTAGGTCGGGGTGACACTGGTCTTCTTCCCTAGACCTGCATGACTACTTGCACGTAAAAAACCCGGAATAATGACAACTATTAGCGTAGCACACACTTAAATGTTTTCACCCAACATGTTTTGTCGTTTTTAAGAACTGTTTGTAGCCGCACAAACTTTCAATTACATACTTGAAGAAGACATAACGAAATTATAAACTATACAGAACCCTTGTTGCAGAGGTAATGATGTCGGTGAACTACGTTTTACAGCATATAATCTACCTAACAGTCATTTAATACTTATATTGAATGATACGCAAGAATAGCAGCCCAATTAATTTTTTGTTTCCTTCGTGGGTCCATCTGTTAGTTCGTGTATGGAACAGTCTGTTGCAGTGTTCATTTGGTTGTTAGATTGACTGTAAAACTGAAAGTTTTTACCCAGAAAATGGTCTCCGCTCTTAAAAGTACATATCACAGTAACAACAAAAGTACTAATTACACGCGAACTAAGTTGCGAGTTCAGCTAATTAGGTATAAAATTTAAATCTGCACGCCGTTTCTGATTATGATTATTTAATATATTTGATATGATTATAAAACGCAAAAGGGGCGCTACAGTTTTAAATAAGATTAACTCTACCAAATATATTTACAGCGAGCGTTAACCATCTGAGCTACCACGGCTTTTTTTTTTACTTTACTACCAAATATTTCTTTAAAACATGTAAACGACAATTGCGTTCACTCTTTATACCACAATAGAGTCGTGGTAGCGCCCATGGTTAACGCCCGCTATAAATTTCACAGTACGCGAGCATACCGCGATCGACGTGCGAGCTGGCGCATTGTCGTGGTGCAATAACTATGACAGATTTTTCCTTAATTTCGAGGTTTTTTTTTGTATCGCTTCAGGGAAACGACGCAATACTTCAAGGTGAAACTTCTTATTAACTGTACGACCTTGTGTTTAGAACCCCTGATGCACTACGTCATGATAAGCAAAGTGAACAACACCTTGACATTTGACCGCACTTTGCATGCTTTTTTCAGTCTTGGCTCGTTTGACTGCTTCCACTGGGATTATTGAACCTTAGTTTCAACGCCATAACCGTATACCTATATTTCGTCACCTGGTATAACCAAAATAAAAAATCGAAGTTCAAACGGACGCATCCCGCGAAATTCGAAATGTCGCCTTTTTATAAAATAAGGGTGACAATCGAGCACACAGTACACCTGATGGTAAGTGGATGCTGTGGGCCATAGACATCTACATTTATCCTAGATTAAGAATCAAAACGCAGATGCGTTGTTACCCTGAGGACTAAGATGGAATGCCTCGTTTGCAGTAAAAAAGGATCTCCGAATCTCTACATTCATCATACGAAACACCAGTTTCCGGTATTTTTAGCGGTGTATTTGCAGCTACCTCAAAAAGTTGCACTGCTTTATGTGGGATAAATTAGACTATAGTAAGAAGCTCTGGTGTTGCGTGTAGTATTAATGTTTTTGGCCCATTGCAACTTAACGTTTAAATAAATTTGAGAATTATGTATGACACTACCAAATAGCAGTTACGCAAAGTGAAGTTGCCTACAATATATTTTTTAATATTAGCATCGTTTATATAAGGTATGACATGTGTGCATGGCGGTACGTCATAACAGTATCTAACACAGGCATTCTGGACATGCTGCTGTATGAGATTTTGTGATCGTACCAAGAGTTCTGAGGCCCCTTATAGAGTCTGCATAATTTAATTTTGATAGAACTAATGTTTTGAAGAATTTAGTATGGAGTAGAGATCCTACATAATCTCTTATTCTATATATCACTTTGAGACCGAAGAAGCAGTTTCGCACTAGGCTTGAAACATAATTTTCAAACCTTAAGCTCTCACCCAATAGTACAAAGAATTAAAACACAGATGCGTTGTTACCCTGAGGACTAAGATAGAATGCCTCGTTTGCAGTAAAAAAGGATCTCCGGATCTTTACACTCATCATACGAAACATAGCAATATTAAGCTGCTATTTTACGCTGGTTTTCTGTAAGAGCGCGGTCTTTCCCCGGTCGAGTCAACCCATTCGTGCTACAACCATAATATAGTTGCGGCGTGGCTATACCACGTATAATACTAACTTTTTGATCACACCTCGTATACTATAAATTCCAGCTTAAAGCAAAAAAATTCGCAACTTTACATTGTCATTACCCCCATTACTATTATTTTTCTTATGTTAGTGTAATCATTTAGATACTTTTGACTTTGTGATATGGAATTAACACCTTTTTTATTATTTTTCAGTTTGATAGATATCTAATTTTTAACTAAATATAAGTATTTAGTTAAAAATTACTGCCAATTTGTTTGTCATAGTTTTAGTAACATAAATATTTTTATACTATTTAGATGTGATACATGAAGTGAATTTTATACAGAGATCATCATAAATTTTATATTAAAAAAGTAAAGTACAATTACAGTCTATATAACCATCGGGCATAGGTTCCTCTCATTTCTAAGTTTTTTTTGCCATTATTAAAAATCAGCGTTGTGGTTTCGCAACAACTCATGCTCAGTAATAATCTTTTATGGCATGCCTTCGACATACAAAGCGTGTTTTATTAAACTCTCGCATGAGTTTGTTATAACTTATTGTTATTTACGTCGACGGTCTGTGCCAAAATAGGCCTTCCTTTCTTTGGTGAAGATTATGACAATGTTGCGTCACAAGTATGTGGCTCGAGTGCAATTATTACACAAGTGAGTTACTTTTACGTGCTATTTAACTAATGGTTTTAAAATTACTTAAGTTGGATATTAGATTTTTCCATAGCTAGAAGTAGCTAAAAATACCTATTATACTTGTAACTAGGGATTTAAAGCGTCAACAAATTGATACAAGCAATTACTACAATCACTTGCAGAAGAGAATTGCTGTGGAAAAACCTGTAGATTTTCGAATGAAAACGTAATGGTCAGTTCGATATTAGTGAGTTGTTACTTTATTTTTCATTAGTAAAACATATTGCACATTTGGCTTCTAGCCGCGAGTTACGAGTTCGACAAACTTATAAAAGCTATCTAGCTGCACAAACGTCACATAGCGATGCGACGTGTTTTTTTTTTTTAATAATATGTTTTTTTCTTATTTCATAACTCTGATATAGTTTTTTAGACTTTACATACGATACGGAAAAAAACGATTGGGTTGGTTACATTTAATATAGTATCCGTAAAGATTAGTTTTAAGTCGACTTCAAAAAAGGGGAAGTTCTTAATACGACTCGTTGTTTCTTTTTCTTGTATGTATGAAACGCGATATCTTTGTCAATTGGGAACCGATTACAAATTATTTTCAGCTGATTTTCGGCTTACAAAAAAGAAGAAGGTTCTACTGTATTTATTATATGTTACCTCAGAACTTTTTCTTTGGTAAACCAATTTTGATGATTCTTTTTTATTTGAAAGCTGGTGCTTTTCACATAGTCCCATATAAATTTGATAATGATCTGTTTGGTAGCTTTTGAGTTACCTACCCTTAATAATGCATATTTAATTGACTTTTATTTCTATTGAAGTTAATTGAACAATTTTTTTTAATTTTCATTTGTGTATTTATTAAATAGGGCTTTTATTATATACTTCAAGGGTCCTTTTTAAATTTGTAGAAAAATAGGGGACGAATTTTTGGTGTAACTCTTACAACTATATTACAGTTGTCACCTCAATCTTGTGACAAAATTGAAATCAAAATATTTGCAAAGAAAGAAAGGAAATATTTATTTATCCACATAAGCAGAACGCTATATTATACATAGTTGTTTTATGTTTTATTTATAAAGTTATAAATAATAACAATATAGTATAGACGTTACCGAATGTGACGAAAAGGTGTCGCACTCAGCATTTGGCGTGGCGAACCACGTTTTTCAATGCGGCTCGTTTCGTCTCTTCCAGGCAGTTCAACCAATATTCTATTTTTATACATGGAAAATAAATCCCAGTTTTATCCCAATTATAAAATAAAATACGTGTGGCACTCGGTGACTGCCGCGGTAAAGCTATTGCATAGCATTTTTTATCAACTTATGCAATTATAATTATTTATTTATTTTATTTATGCAGTTAAGTCTTTGATATTATATCAAGTTACACTTTTTGAGCGTGGTGACCGATAAGAAAACAATTTTTTCTCTTATTGAATAAATGAGAAGTTAATATTGTTTAAAATATTTTTAATATCTTACAATACATGTAGGTTATTCAGGAATTTTTATCATTGAGTTAGCAGCTAGTGTACACGCATACGTCTAGTCGCACGCACACAAACACCGTGCCGAACTCTGCCGAGTGCCGAAGTCTGCCGAACTGAAACGACGTTAGACGATGCACGGCTTTCAACGCCACACCTCCGTGCCCGTCGGAGTGGGGAGCGTGAGGTTTTTTTCGTTACGGAATTTCTGGATTCGGTCCCCGCGCTCAAGGCCCGCGATAGAAGCTATGCAATAGCTTAAAAATAAACAGAAAAAATAAACACGAGACTAGACTACATAAATTGTGTTCAAAATTTCTAAGCTTAAAATCTAAACAACAATGGAAGGACAGCAATGGAATCAAAATGCAATGCACTAAAATTAAAAGATAAGGAAGCTATGGATATTTAAAATACAACAATAAATTATAACAGAACGAGAAGATTATGAAATAAACAAAGAAAAAGTAAAAAGAATAAATTTGGTGCGTGTTTTATCAAATCGTAACATGTTATGTTTATGAAATTATATCATACAAATAAATATTATTTATTACATTAGTATGGGCGTGCACGCGTAAGTGTATGTGTGTGTGTGTGTGTGTGTGTGTGTGTGTGTGTGTGTGTGTGTGTGTGTGTGTGTGTGTGTGTGTGTGTGCATGCGTACGTGCTTGCGAGCATGCGTGCGTGCGTGCTTGCGTGCGTACGTGCGTGCGTGTGTGTGTGTGTGTGCATGTATTATAATAAATGTGATTTTCTCGGTTTTATAACGGTTCAATAGGTGTTATTTGTATTAAATGTTAAAGAGTCTTACTGTTTTCACATTGCGCATTGGTGGTTGTAAATTATTCCGGTATTTCGTAGCAGTGTATTTGAAGCTACCTCAAAAATTTGCACTGCGATATGTGGGATAAATTAGACTATAGTAAGAAGCTCTAGTGTTGCGTGTAGTATTGATGTTTTTAGCCCATTGCAACTTAACGTCTAAATAAGTTGGAGACTTATGTATAACACAACCAAATAGCAGTTACGCAAAGTGAAGTTTCCTACGATATTTCATTTTTAAAATTTTATATAAACCTACATATACGAGGTTTATAAAGAATATGACATGTGTGCATGGCGGTACGTCATAACAGTATCTAACACAGGCATTCTGGACATGCTCCTGTATGATCTTCTCTGAGCGTACCAAGAGTTCTGAGGCCTCTTACAGAGTTTGCAAAATTTAATTTTGATAGAACTAATGTTTTGCAGAATTTAGTGCGGAGATCAGATCCTACATAATCTCTTATTCTATACATCACCCTTCAGCCCTTCAGGCCTTCGATTGGTTTTGGTACAAAGCGCTTCTTACGAAACTTCCTTCCTATGGGCTTCCTCTCCTATGGCACTCCTCTTGTTGCTTCAGCCAGTATCAGAATCCTTGGCGTTGATATATCGAGAAACTTGCAGTTTCGTGGTGACTTATGTTGCGTAAGACGTTTCCTGTGTGATTGGTATTTATATAGTATTGTAATTAATAACTTTTTAAGATCCTTATAGTAGAATTTATGTGCGTCCAAACTGGTTTTACGCACTCGGCTTTGTGCCTCATGACGGGTTTTTGTCATCTGTGTAACGTTACCTAAAGATTTATTCTGCCGTACGTTGACTAATAGACCATTAAGCTGAAACTGGTTGCAATTAATGTTTAAATGTCATGATATAAAGTCGAAAATTCTCTATCTTTCTATCTTGGAATCGTTTTCTTGTCTAATGTTGTTGCAGAAATATACGTTACACAATGACAGTTAAGCACATATTTTACTTGCCTTCTCACGCAATGTCGTTTTAGGTATTTAAGTAACTAAAACGACGTTCTCTAAAAACATTGACGAAAATTCAGTAAAAAGTTTTTAACGTCTTTGTTGAGAATTGTGTCTCATTAATAATACGGTCATCTAGAATCTGCGCATGATAGAATTATTCCCTCACCTTTATAGTCCCATGGCATGGTAATCCGACACGATTGGAGAAAGCTAAACCTCAGATCAGGATCAGAGAATGTGCTTTCCAAGGCACGAGGGTAAAACACCGCCATATTCCTGACTCCGGGAAAAATTTATCGACAGAAAAACCTGGTAACTGATTTTAGCCGGTCTTATTAATCGGAATATGTAATTACAGATTAAAAATAAAAAAATACAAATTTAAAGATAAAATAATCAAAAAAGACGCCTAAATGCTGCTATGGATGTTTAGCTGTTTTTTTTTATAACGTTTGCCGTTAAACATTAAATAAAAATTTGTCTAAAAAACAACTATCCTTTAAAGTCACTCAATTGTGAAATTTCTGTTGCGCTGTAGTTAAGGAACTACCTCTAAATAGAGTCAGAAAAGTTATTTTCTAAATAAAAGCAGTTGTTGAGATCGCGGCTTGGTATCGTCATTCAAAACTTTATACAGTACACAATAAACGTACGGCGTAAAACCATGTTATGCAATTGTATTGCCATCACGCCATGAACTAAGTTTCTTTTTCACACAATTACGATCGTACGCCCATCAAAAATGGCCGTCACTATTACTTACTATTATCTTCATTTAATGTAATATCAAGTTATTGTGATAATAATACATTACAACTAAGTTAATAGATGGTTCAACTAGGATAACTACGTACTATTTTACTTTGTATTTAGGTGGTTTGTCAATCTGGGCCTGAAAATCTAATCTCAAAAATACTTGTAACATATCATATTATCTGTATGGATTATTAATAGAACTTTGCAGCTATAGCTATGCTCTGAAAATACTTTTTAGTAATTAGTGCTTGACTACTGTCCCCCTTGACAGTAAGTGGTACTGCAGCCTAAAATAACATATATATATATATATATATATATATATATATATATATATATATATATATATAAAGAAAATTCTGTACTCCTTTCCTGTACTATGACAGCAAATGCTTAAAGCAAATCCATAAAGACACCGTTACAAAAGCCCCCTCTATTAAATCTATGACTACTCTGAGCCTGTTCTAGAGACTGTTAAGGTTGGTTTTAACCAAATGTAACAAAAAGTGATGTACTCGCCATTGATGTTAATACCGTATACTTTCCAGCCCAGTAGCTTGTGTCTTCCAACGCAGCGGTGAAGAGTTTCGGGGATATAACGTCACCCTGTCTTACACATCTCTACAGTTGGATAAGTTAAGTTTAGTTAAGTAAGTAAGTTTAAGTTAACTTAAGATAAGTTCAGACCGCAGAAGGGACTGTAGCATCGATCAAATTTCGACGGAATCAAAGGCTTTTTCATAGTCTACACACACTAGGCAAAGTGGCAGATTGTACTCTTCAGACTTCTGCACAACTTGCTGATGGGTATGTATGTAGTCTATGGTAGTAAAATCTTTTCGGAAACCTGCTTGTTCGAGAGGCTGGAAGTCGTCGAGTCTGCGTGCGAGACGATTCGTAATGACTCTCAAAAACAGCACGTAGACGCGGCTCACAAGAAATATCGTTCCTTAGATCTTCAGGAGAGTGTTGTCACTTTTCTTGAAGAACAAGACCACCGCACTTCTGCTCCACGCCTCGGAAGTGGAGCCACCATGAAGGATGGAATTAAAGAGCTTCTAAAGAACTTCAAGTATCAACTTACGACCCGCTTTCAGAAGCTCCGCTATAATTCCATCCTCGCCCGGGACTTGCTGTATTAAGGTACTG